ATGACTCACTTTTGAAACTGCAGTGGATCCAGATCATTAAAAAGTGTAAAGTTTAATTGCCATCATGAAAAAAAGATAGAGGAAAGAAGAGGAGCTTAGCAAATTTTCTAGACATACCTTATGACTTGACTCTGGTTAATGCGGACACCTGGTCAGATCTCCCCGGCCACCTCCAGCTAGTTGAGACTTCAGCTGCTGTTGCAGATATCTGGTAAGAAACCCCAGATTCACCTGATGACTTGTGCCTCGCTTGTTTTGCTTATTATAGATAACAATGTAAAAAATTAATAATCTTCTCTTTCCCTCTACCCCTTCCCCAACTTTTTTTTTAATTCCCCTAAACATTCTACATTCTATTTATCTTTGCTTATAACTTTTCATTCTGAATCTAGCAGTGAATTTTTATCTCCTTTTCCTCACCCTTGAATAGCCTTTTTCTCCAATTATATTACTGAGTCCAGCTTTCCCCATGAGGCTTTGTTTCCTACTCATTGTCTATTTCATCGTCCTTTTCCCCCTTTTTTCTTTTATTCTCTCACACATTCCTTCTTCTACTCATTCTGTCACACCATCATAGTTTTTTTTTTTCTATCCCTGTCATAGTTAAAAGAAAGGAAAAAAAATCTCAAAATGAGCATCTATTCAAGTAATCTTTGACCTTTAGGTTCTATAAGACATTGTGCTAACTTCAGAGGACTAGCGCTTAAGAACAAGACTCAATTTTCCATCATGAAATTTGCAGCCAGAATGATAAATAAGACAGCTGAGATTTTGTTTCTTTCAAAACTACTGATAGTCTTGTAAACAACCCAAAACAATTTTCTACTGTTCTTAAATATAAAGATGAGTCAGTCAAAATACTAGGAGAAATGTAAAAAGTGATCTTTCTCAAAAAGGCTTTTATGACTCCAATTTCATATATAGTTATATATTTCCAAATTCAAGAAAGATAATATGCACTATTTAAAACATAGTTCAAGTGAGATCATTTAGTTTCTTTATGTTGTGATTTTATTCTTCTCACTTTGTTCAATTTGTGTAGTTCTCAGCACCTTTCCCTTTGTGATTAACACCAGAGGCTTTTCAGTTATGTGACACTTTGTAGTAACAAGAGTAATAACCTTACAGTCCTTGAACCTAGGAACTGAGAACTTCCTAGTTTTGTTTTTTGTCAAAAACTACAAAAATAAAGGTAGACACAAGCAAGAATGATTGCTAAATTTCCTCTCGATGACTCTGTATTCTCATTATTTGGAGGATCTATAAATGAATATTTATGGTGGAGTAGGACAATGGACTGGGGTAGTTACCACGTACAATAGAAAAAAAGGGACCCAGATAAGACATAAATATTTGAGTAAATGAAGTCAGAGGAAAAGGAATGAAAATTGCTTCTTCCGTATTATTTTGTTGGCTCAGTTTGTTTAACTTCTGCTTCTATAGAAGATCTTGTGACAACATTTGGTTAACTCAGCAGAACATCTTATAAATCACAAAAATATTTTGGCAGCCTCTATAAAAAGAAACATAAAATGCTATTAAAGCCAGTAAGAATTGGGAACTGGGAACAAAAAGGAAGTTAGAAGACATTGTTGCCTTAGTGGATTAAAAGGATAAATAAGAACTTTAAAATTAGTTGAAAAGAAAAAACAAGTAAACCCTCAACAATGAGCATTAATCCACCCGTTCAGGTAGGTAGTCTTTGAGGTCTTTGTCATATAAGGAATTGTGCTAACTTCTATGAAACAAGCGTTTAAGTACAAGAGTCTTTTTTTTTTTTTAAGATTTATTTATTTGTGCATACAGAACTGGGGTACAGGCCAGAGGCTCAAGGGCGGCGAGAGGCTTCACCAGAGACAGAGTGGGGAACAGAACAGGCAGATCGACGAAGTACACTGCTGAGGGG